TGGAACCCGATCTAAAACCATCAAGCGAGCTAGAACGTGCTCTGGAACCAAGCGAGCTATAACCTGCTCTGGAACATGATCTAGAACCATCAAGCGAGCTAGAACGTGCTCTGGAACATGATCTAGAACCATCAAGCGAGCTAGAACGTGCTCTGGAACATGATCTAGAACCATCAAGCGAGCTAGAACGTGCTCTGGAACATGATCTAGAACCATCAAGCGAGCTAGAACGTGCTCTGGAACATGATCTAGAACCGCCAAGCGAGCTAGAACCTGCTCTGGAACCAAGCGATCTAGAACGTGCTCTGGAACCACCTCCCTATGAAAACACCAACTCCAGACTTCGTACCGGCTCTAGAACCACCCTAGCTCTACAACCAACCAACCCCCGAAAACCCACCTCTGGAATGGACTCGAACTCTAGGGCCCCAGGTCGAACGTTGACAGCAAGCACGTTACTTTCCCCTTGTCAAGTACAGGGCTCAAGTACAGGGCAGATCACCCAGAATGCTGCTATTGTATGGCGAGCCATACTCCCTGTCTCTCCACCAAAAAATGGCAATCTTTTGGATCTTCTCCAGCTAATCAGTGGAAATGATGGACACCTTGACATCTTCATTTGGCAATATGCTTTCACCAACATACCAAAGGTTGCCAACCTCTAGCTTTGGCAATCCTAACTAAAATGAAGCCACTCCCAGTCCAGTTAACCCCATGCATGTTTTTACTGCATCCCCTACAAAATCACGGCTACCTTTCTTGGTAGCTTGTTTTCCGTGGCTAGCTTTCCTTCTGCCATCTTACCACACCCATCTAAGTGGATCAGATCTAATAAGATATTTTGTTCACCTCAGGTTTCACATTTCTTATGACATGCTAAACATATTAGCTGCATAGCCCAGTTACCATTGGATCATTTATTGACCACAAAGGTGACATGAGGAACGATGCTAACAGAGAAACAGGACCTTTGATCTGTCACCTGTAGAGCTGTTCCCCATGTCTTGTTCTTCCCAGCACACGCTCCATCCCATGCCTTGTGTGCCCGCATGGCCGGGCTTTGCGCTGCTCTGCAAGATCAGCGCTCCATCCTGCTTCAACGCTGGCTTTGCCCGAGCCCGGCCAGCCCTCTGTAACCACCGTGCTCTCTTCTTCAGGTGGGTTACTTCTCCACCTTGATGTTTTAGTTTCAAAATGGGGATATGAGAAAGTGTTGTTCTGATGTGTAGTGATTGTAAACAAAGATGTTTGAATGTGGTCTGGGCTTGCTTGAGATGCGGCATTCATTAATTACGCCCAAATTATATTTAATCTGACTAATCCGTGTGGTCACACCATTACGCGTGAACTGTGATCTCAAATAAAGCAAATCAGATCCAGCTCTGATCCTCTGAGCTGATGTGATGGTGCCTAGATTCATTAATTATTCTAGTTGCGCGGCAGATCCTGTGAAGAAAGGCAGCGTGCACCACGCACACTGTGGAGAGGTTTGCACAGATGATTGTTTAGCAGGGACTGTACATATGGAAATTTGTTCTGATTTCTTCCTTTGTGCTATCCCATTTACAAATGGAAATGACTACTTCGTAGCTAGTACTCATTATATTTCTCTCCCGTGAGATGTGAAATTTGCACTAGGAGAAATCCCACAGTAGCTGGGGCTGAAGCCTAGTCTCTGCCGCTGAGGCTGCTCCACCAGGAAGGGGGAGCAGGGAGGCAGCAAGGCCGGCGGGACCCTGCCCTCACCAACATGCCTCAGCAAGGGGCAGAGACAGTCCGCTGGAGTCAACCAGGGTCGGCCAAGGGGTCAGCCAGGGCTGGGCAAGGTGGCGATGATGAGGGCCAAGGTGGAGCTGGGAAGTCAAGTCACGATCAGGCACAGCGTGCATACAGTATATGTGTAAACAATTTACTTTTATATAGTTAAATACGGGGGCAATGTGGAGGCCCCTGCTAAGTCTGGTCAGGGCAATGAGAGCCTACTGGTACCTTCATGTCCCTGACATCCACGTAGGGCCCAGCCATCTTCTGGTGAGGAAGTCGAGCAAATCCACCCCTCGCTGCCCTCGGGGTTCATGCTGTGTCCCTTAGTCTGGGGTTGTACAGCTTAATCTGTTCCTGCCTTACATCCGTAGCAAACACGATCAAGGCTGTGAATCACTGAAGTGTCACTTCATTACATACCTGGGCAAGGAGACAAGAAACTAGTTGAATACTACAGAGTTGATGTATATAAATGGGTCACTAGTATCCTCCGGAGAGGGGGGTGTGTGTGTTGGTTTTGAGCAAGATGTGTATATTACTGCTATCAGCAATGTTGTTAAAGGTTTGCAGCACTGCTTTTATTACACTGAATAGCAGAGCACAGGTGGGACAGAGCATATAACAGCCATGCATCAGATCATGCTCCAGGGAAGCACATGGAAAGATTGTATCTCATTGCACTAAGCTGCACTTTGTTAAATAAGATGATTTAAATATAGGCACTAACTTTCTGGCAAGGCATAGTAATACTGTTTTACTTGGTTATAGTTTGATGTAATGTAAAGGAGGTGGTGGTTGTGAGGGGTTTTTTTCTTCTGGAAAAGTGAATATGCTGCTGAAGATACTAAAAAAAAAAAAAAGGATTTTTTTTTTTTTTTTTTA